TCTCATTATCTTCTTTCCTGACACTTCCAGGGTCCAGTTCCTATGTTACATGAGTGTGCACGGGGACACACACACACACACACACTTACTCATGCACACTTTTTAAGTGATTTATACTAGCTTCTGGTACTTTTAATGTTGAAAATGTTGGAGTCATAACTTAGGTGTATTTCCTTTAGCTGTCACCACCCCCCACCCCTCTCACACAAAGTGTGGAACTCTATGTGCATCTTATGGCTTCAATCAAGATCCTAATTTCCCTGAGTCAGAGGGAGAAAGTCTTGGACCTTGGGGAGGGCCCCCTGCTGGGTCTATGTGACCCACTACTTCATTTGCATTGGGGACCATCCATATGAGTGTGGGCAAATGGGGGACAAAGAATTCAGGTGTCCCTTGGCCTGGAATTCTGATTTACCTATTTAGATTTGGAAAAAGGTTGGGCAGAACATTTACAAACGTGTGCTGAGTTTGCCTTCATTTGCTTTGTCTGGGTCCCACCTGGCCAAACCGATGGACCAGTGACACCACTTTGGGAAGCCAGGCTGACAGGAGCTCTGGAAATGGAGAACATCATGTAAGGGCTATTTTTCTCCTCCTGCCGGTAGGCTTGCCCTTGACATTCAGGGTTTATGTTACTACTCAAGGAAGCAAATGCTAATCACTTCTCTCTCCCCAGGAAGTTGCATCAAGATCATTTCCTCTAACTCTCCCCTGGGAAAGTAGATCATGCACAGCATTAAGCATGTTATCCAGGGGATTTTTATGAAAGAGAAACAGACCCTTTAATATAACTTAAAGGAATAAGACCCTTTTTAGAATCACAGATATTCTTTATTACAATTCCATGACAATGTAGGAAGCTTAAAAACCTTCTGAATCCTCAACAGCTCTGTTGCTGATAGTGACAATTTCATAGTGTATATTGTTGTGCTGTTCCATTTCTTTGCATATTGGGAAACAATTCATCTGGAGAGGCAATTGGTGTCCAGTGAGGGCCACTGGATGTAGAACATGGGGACATGAATGCTAATCCCCAAGCCTGTGGGGGTTGCAACTTTATCACTTGTAAAACTGGTAGGTGAGATCACCTCTCCCCCTTTCAGTCCTGACATCTTAGGAGCTTGCCCATCTCTGGTAATCTGAACATTTAATTAAGCAGAATTTTCCATTCCCGTACTGTGCCAGATAGAGAATTTACTGTATGAATTCAAAGTCTCAAGCCGATAAGGAAAACCTACCCACATCCCAGACTGCCTTATGCTTGTTGATGTCAGAGTAAGAGTTATTGTGGGTAATCAGAGAAGGACATAAAAAAGAACAACATGTACCTGGCAGAATTTGTATATCAGTGCGTTATAATTTGCCAAAGCGTTCTTCAAAGTTAAAGCTTCCATTACATAACTTTTTATCACTTTCTTCTTAAAAATGTTCCATTTGGGTTGGTGTGGTTTATGATTTGCCTCACTTCAGAGATAAACACATGGTGGATGATTAGACTAAAATTCCCAGGTATTTCTGAATTTAAAAGGTTAGGTTAGGAGAGTGATACCAAAGAAGGTTGAGCAAAGAAGCTGTTATTTAAACTATTTAGAAGGTAAGATGCTATGTGCTTCGGATAAGGAGATGACAGTTAATTTCAAGTCCCTTACCATCATCTCCCTGTACATGAACACACACAAAGGTTTGGAAAATTAAGGAGCATGCTGGGATCAAACGCAGAGCATGGATATGGGGCTTTTTCCTGCACAGCCAGCTGTGAACCTAAGAAAGCTCTGTCTACTCACAGGCACTGTGTGCTCTTGGTCCAGTGGGATGGAACATCCCTACAGGCTGAGAGGAACAGTATTTCCTATTAGTCCTGGTCATGAAGGGGCCCTATCACCTGTTATTTGTTTTAAAAAAATTAATTTTCCTCCTCTAAAAGCTTATATACTCCAATTCATGACAACCTAAAAAATTTTTTTTAAGTGCTCACATTTATAACACTGACTGAAAAATCTACATATAGGATTCAGGCAGGGAAATGGTTATTAGCCTAAGGTGTACCTTTTAACCCTATCTATGCAGGGAATTACAAACTAAAATGTGTGGAGTTCATTTTGCCACAGCTGAACAGGAATATGACTACATCCCACTCCTCAGAGATTTTTCCTTTACAAATACTTTCACTTGACTAATGCAATTGGCCATTAGGAAAATAAGCTCTTATTAGTAAAAATATAAAGATTATTTAGGAAGGTGCAACCTATTTTCTGGACTGGATTATGTGATTTGTGACAGCTTTTCTAAAATGAATGTGGCTCACACACTCAAACAGCACAATTAATATATGTAATTTTTAAAAGGGCTGTCTTAGGAAAGACTTGATTTCCCTGTTCTTTAGAAAAAGAAGGGGCTTTCCAGTTAAGCACTTTTCTGTGGTGGTACTTACAGGGATATAGCATAACAGTGTCCTCCAGGGGGCGTTAAATCTTCAGCAAAGTTTCAATTTTGAAGAAAGTTCGAATCCAGTTAGCTAAAGCAGCCTGACTTCTCACCAGGATGCAGCAGTATCTTGAGGACCCGCATCCTGAATTTCACATCACAGGCTTCTAACTAGACCTTATTCTTTTTAGTAAAGCCCATGGCCCTGGGGTGTGTGTCAAAGCAGCCTGGCTGGCCCTAAGGGTCAACATTATAACTCTTTAAGAGACTATTGCGGTGCATAGAAAATGTGCTTTCCAAAGGCAGAAATGTGATTCCTGGAGCCCCGAAGAGAACTGAATGTGAGCTGGAGAAGGCTATGTGGATCAAATGGCAAAGGATTCCTCCTTCCTACTTTAGTCCCACAAAGGGCTATTTTTGCTGTTTATTTTTAGTGCAACCATCACTTAGGAGTCTGCAAACCTTAAGGTCTGGGGAACAAGCAACTTGATGTAGTGAAGTCTATGACTGCAAAGTAATTCAGGACACTGGTTAAGAGGTCCAAAGATTCTGAAATAAACTGGGTTTCAGTATCTACTATACTTCTTATAAGCCCTAGGCTCCTGAATTTAATTACTTAACTCCTCTCTGATTTCTCATGCACAGAAGGCTATCTCATAGGGTAACTGCAAAAATTAATTTAGATGCCCCAAAGAAAGTACTTGGTGCATAGTAAGTGTTCCATAAATGCTATTAGTCTTATTCCAGAGTGTGGAATCAAGATCCCCATGACAAAACCTCAGTCATGTCTCCCCCTTCTCCCCTGCTTAGAGTCCTCCAGAGAAGAAAAAATACTTCTCAGTACTTTTTTTCCTTTGTTCCTTCTGCTTTCTCTACATCACCTTCTGATGAGATCCCACCCATGTTTCAAGGATTATCTGTTGCGGCATCTTAAAGGCAAAAAGAACACTATTACCTCCTCCAAGGACTGAATGAGCTTTCTCCTACCTCTGAATAACATCAGGGACACAATATCTTGATAACCAGATGTATATGTTTGTCAAAACCTACAGGAGTGTTCACTTAACATGATGCAGTTTTCAACATGTAAATTGTTTCTCTATAATCCAACCCAGGAGAAACATAATGAGAAGAACTCAGTGTTTGGAGAGATGAAGACTTGGTCCAAATTCAAATTCTGACACTGTCCACTTGGCAGGTCATTGAGACTTCTTCACCCATAGTTTCTTCCTATGTAAGTGGGGCAATTGTCACTCCCTCCTCTTTAAGGGGTTTAGAGACACAATAATATATGAAAATGCCTTGCACAGTGCTTGCACACAGCTGATGCTACTTGACTGTTAGGACCTTCCTTTTCAGCATAACTATTTCTGTGATTGTATTACAACACCCCCATCCACCAGAAGATAATCTTGAGGATAGAATATGGTCTTTCTTTTTCTTTTCTAAGTGTCTTGCTTAGAGTACAAGTGGTATCCTTGGCTACAGAGAGATCTTTACAGCTAAACACATCAACTTTTAGACAGCAAACACCTAGAGGCATCCCAACTTAAGCCTCTGAAAGATGTTATGCTCGGTGTGGCCACCTGGGTTTGCAAAGGCTCAGTATATTGAAGTCTGGCAGATGCTTCACTTGGCCAATAATTCAGCTATGGCTCCCCAGTGTACAGTATGGCTTCATAACACATCTTTCAGTGTATGGTAGTTCTTTATGATAGTTGTCTCTTTCCCTTTAAAGCAATGGAATGACTGTACTCTTTTATTGACCAATAAGTCACTCTCTTTTCCATGGTTCAAAGTTAAGCTTTTATTTGGTTTTAAATTAAAAAAATAAATTTCATTATTAAATAGTAAGATGGATCTAAACTAATGTTCAGATAGTAGCTTATTCAGGAATATACCATGGGGGGTACAGTTAAGGGGTGGGTCACCTAAACTAAAATTATTTGTTATGTTGTCATGGTTGTTAAAAGTTCAACAGTGGCATAATTCAAAAGAAACTTGAGATACAAAGTTTTAAATGTTAACAATGGAAGGGGGAAGTAAACCACTTATTCTACTTCAAATGCAACACATTTCTTTCTCAATGCCAGTCAGTTCGGATGCTATACCACAGTGCTGATGTCATCGGGCTCATCTGCTTTCTTTTGCCTGCTTGGCAGGGATTTCAAGTATTCGAGATGTCTCCGGGCATCCTCCTGATTTTGCCTCACGTAATACACCACATAGGAGATCACCATGGTGAACCAGCCAAACATGGTGACAAGCATGGCATAATCGGTGGTTTTTTTGGGGAGGTTACAAAGGTCAGCATCATTGGCAGCATTGAGGAAGGGTCTCCCAGCGTGTTCGTCCAACACAGAAGTCTTACAGATCACGTTGTGTGCTGTCTCATGGTTGGACGCCATGCTCCTCAGAACTTGCTGTAGAGTACAGTCGCAGTGCCAGGGGTTGTTGGCAATTCTGGCCCTGGCCTTCAGGTTATTGAAGGCATTTTTGTGCACACTTTGAATCCGGTTGTCGGACAAGTCCAGAGTCTGCAAGGTTTCCGCTACTCCTTTGAAGGCATGCTCATCGATAAACTCAATGCCATTTTTGGACAAGTTGAGAACTCTTAGTTGATGAAGGTCCTTAAAAATCTCATTGGGGATAGAAGTGATCTGATTGGAGTCCAGATACAATAAAACTGTTTCGGGAGGAAGATCTCTAGGTATTTCCTTGAGATTTGCATTGCTACAGGTGACATTTAAACCCCCAGAGGAAGAACAAAGACAGCCCTTGGGACACATACTGGCAGAATGAAAGCACAGTATCATAAGAACAAAACTTTGTAGGAGGAGACACATGGAGAGGGAACGGGTCAACCACAGGTCTACCAGATTCATGCTGGAATGTCAGCATAATCACAATCCCATTCCTCATTTGCTCTGACTGGCAAGCATGGCAACGGTTCCGACCTGTCCACACTGTTGATGTCCTTGTTGAGTGGTTCAAGAGGCTGCAACTAACACAAGGGTCTCTTCATTATTCCTGTCCTTGCTTGGGCACCTAAAGGAAAGGGAAGCAGATGCAGTTAGCTCTTTGCAAAGGGAGGTACATTGCAATTAAAAGTGTTCTCATGCATCTGGCATTCTTATATGGGCAGGAGGGTTGGTTATGCAGGTAATTTCCATCAACACCACTGGGAGTTATCTGCATAATGGGAGTGTCCTGCTCAAATCCCAGGTGCTGGCGTAGAGGACTGTCATTAAATGACAACATTTCCAAGTTATGCTGCCTTAAGTAAACAGTCCAAATACCTCTCATTTCTACTGGTCTCTCAACATCCTGAACCCCTTCTAAATTCTAGTGATAAAATTTAATTACACCTTCCCCCTTTCTAAAGTAACAGATGCATTAATACAATTTAGCCCTGTACTTGGGCAGCAATGAGAAAAAGAAAAAACACTGATATTTCATAGTTAATAACCATAGATAGCAATATCTGTCATGGATTTTGAGTGAATGCCCAATTGGGATATTTTCTCTAAAGAAACATCTTATTTGAAGTAAGAAATGAATGAATGCATTGCAACCTTCATAACAAAATGTTGCTAGGAACTAAGAGCCCAGGAGTGGTCTCCCTGTGACTTCTTGAGAGATTATATTACACCTGGGAGATGCTCTTAACTGAATTTCCAAAGGATTCTCTCCATTTTCTAAACAGCATATCCCCTCCATGGTAGCTTTTCAAATATGACACACATCTCCTAGCCTTTTTAAAAAATAAGAATTACAAAATACTAGCCTCTAAGACTCCCCCAAAACCCTATTTTTCCCCCAATCACATACAGGTATTATTAGCATTGGAAGGGGTCTCAGAAATTTCAGACATTAAGAGAGATAAGCAAGGTTTTGAGTTTACTCAAAAACAGAGATGAGAACTTAACCCTCAAAATTACTCTCTCACGTAAGGAGGACAGGCATCTTTGGGACCAGTTCATAGAGGATGCAAGTGGATCTTGGAGAGATGATGTGACCTGGCCAAGGTCAAAGAGCTTGTAGGTGGTGAAACTAGATGCAAGCTAGACTTTGTTCTGACTCATTAATCTTGAAACTCTTCCCACCACCCCCTCAGCTCTCTCCCAACTCCATCTGCTCTATGAGGACAGTCAGGATCCAGGGAGCATTGCTGGTTGTGATTTCTGATGCTGTTATGTTGTCACTCAATCCAAACTGAGAACCCCGTAGAGCTCTATCGCAGGGCTTTCTACACTGTGGAGGGAAACCATGCCTGACTTCAAAGGAGTCTCAGGATCTGAGAAACAAGGAGAATATTCAGTCCTCTTACAGTTGCTCACAGCAAATGGCTTTCTGCATGAGCAACAAATGACTCGTGGCAAACTTATCTTTTCTAAAGATCCCAGATGGATAAATACAGAGGGAAATGACTCCAAATGTTACCAAACTCACAGAAGAGAAGATTAATGTGAGCTGAAAACATAATGAACTGGGTTGTTAATCATGGAAAAAATGAAATTAGCAACAGCAGAATGGAGTGGATGTGCTTTTGGAATCCTGAATCCCTTAAATGCCAGAGAATGCTAAAGAAGGACCCCTAGGCTTACTAAGCCATCCATCAAGAGCTCATTGTATTTGCAGTGAAAGTTTCCCTTGCTTCCAAGTTTTCCTTCAAAACTGCATTGCAGGGCATTTGGGGACTAGTCATTGTATAGATGGGAGAGAGATGCAAATGAACAGGTGTGGAGGGGAAGGCACTAAGAGAGTAAAGAAGGAAGCAGAAGGACAGAGAAAGGATTCTAGGAGGACATGAGAAGGATACAGGAGATAGGAGCAATCAATGCGACTAAGAAAATAAAGGGATTCCATGTCATCAAGCAACTTCCACCAGCTGTGTATGTACTGCCTGCTGAAATCCTGCTAAAAAGCGTCAAGGACCTTTTCCTGGAGGACACTCCACAGCTCTTCAGAGTCAGATTTGAGGAAAAGAGTTCTTTAATTAAATTATAAGCTGCATGAGGGCAGGAACTTGTGGAAACAGAGGTAACAACTAAAATTGGAACAATTAAAATAGCAAAGCACATTCATTTGCATCCAGATTTAATCTTTATTAGGGGGTGCTCCTGGGCAAGTTACTTAACCTCTCTAAACCTCAGTTTCCTTATCTTTGTACAGAGGTTATAAAAACACCTAATTACAGGTTGATTTGAGAATTGATGTGAGATAATTCACATAAAGCATTTAGCATGATGCCTGAAAGGTTAAGAGCCCCATACCTGTTAGCTACAGTTACTATTATTATCCCAGATACATTCTCAACTCCTAGCATAGTGCTTGACATGTAGTAAGGGCCGAATACATTCTTTTGTATGAATGAACCAATGAAATATTGAAGAATCTAGCTGTTCTTTTTCTTCCCTATGGTAATTATTTTTAACACAAATATTGGCTCATCAAATGTCTATTGGTTTTACATGTTAACACAGTGGTCTTCAGAAAAATCATGAGTGCAGGCTCCTATTTGACGGAAGCAAAAATGGAATTTTTCTCAGTAGGCTTCATAGTTTTCTTCATGGTTTCTCCAGAATGATCAGTCCGATGGGCATGGTCACACACAAGAAATAGGACACATCTTGAGTTCTCAACACCAGACTGCAATCTCTCTTGGGACAGAATCCTTCATGCCCCAGTGGTCCACCTGTACCCCGATGGGATGCCTATGAGGAGTACAAATGCAGAGTATCCCTTGAATTCAAAGAGGTTAGACTCAAACCAAGCATTTCACTTTCTCTCTCTGATTTGATGAAAGGGGAATAGAAGCTTCCAGGATCGTCTAGATTGTTGGGATGCTATGAGTTGGCCTGGAGAGTCTCCCGCCTTCAGACAGGACAAAGTGACCAGAGATGCAGCATGTAGAGAGCTGAGCCTTTGGATGTCCAGGAGGCAGGCAGCAAGGCCAAAGACACTGAGTCAAGCTCATCTCCAGCGAGGAGGATGGAAGAGCTGCTTCTCTATTACGCTGAACTAGTTTCCAAAAGGATTAGCAGCTTGATATTCACCTAAATTACTAGATAGGTCAATGGTGGTTTGTGGAAAAGGAACACAAGGGGAGATGTGCCCCAGAGTAAATAAGTAGGCATTTTTCTGACATGGGTTATCACCCAGCAGGATAAAAAGCTAAAAAGGTAAAAAGCTAAAAAGGTGGCTGGAAACCCCAAACTCCCTCCTGCTCTGTTACCAGTCAGATGTACCCACAGTCCCAAAGTAGCAAGCTAGCTATCCTGCCAGGAAGAAGGGAGTGCCACCTTATTAACTTCAGGATGAGGAGGCAGAGCACAAAAGGGCTGCGGTCACACCAAAGATGGTAACAACAGCAGCAGTGGTTGCTGCCCATCCTCCAGATTAACAGCAAGATCCACTTTTACTGGGACAGAGCAAATCAAACACTATCTTTCTCTCTCCTAACTTCCCCTTTGCAATTCTCAACTCATTAGACTCTCCTACCCTCTGCACTTAGGCCTTTCAAATGTGGCTGGTGCAATCAGGAAGCTACAGAATTTCTGCATGTGGTGCTCGGGTATGAGCTATGACCCCAAAGAAGGCCCTGGAATCGCTAGACCCATGCTTTGTTCTTTTTTTTTTCCTTCACACAGGTTTCTGACCTATAGCCATTAATGCCAGGATGCGGTGGCAACCATCAAATAGTGACTCCAGATGAAAAAGAAAAAAAGGCACTTAGCAGGCTGCCTGAGGAGATGGTTCTTTCAACAGCTGATTAACGACTCTATCTGCTTCCTTCTTCTTTTACTCCTCGTTCCGGGGACACGCAGGGATACTCAAGGCTTCTAACCCAAATGCTTTCATTAACTCTTCTGAGATAACTAAGTGCACCATTTTGGAAAGAAATACCAGACACGCACAAATTTCTTCCAATTGCACCTATGCAATTCTGCTATCAAACAGAAGGATTTGATCAAAAAGCACAAAATAGTAAAACAGTTCAGGACATAAAATTCAAATCAGTGGGGAAAAAAACCCATACATTTAAGTAGTTAATATGAGAACTTCTGCATGGCAAAAAGTAAGACCACAAAGAGAAAAGACAGATGATAAAATACTGATTGCTTCAGTATACAAGTTCATACAAGGAAAAAAGAAACTAACTAGAAAAAGGGACAGAAAAACAACATACATAAATGACCAATAAATCATATGAAAAGATTCTTGATCTCACTGACAGTGAAATAAATTTGTGTTAAAGTACCTATCACCTTGGTTAAAATTAGGAAGACTATGTAATGATAATGAAATGGTTTAAAACAAAACAAGTTATCCCTCAAACGTTTGGTGAAAGGCATTCTTTTTGTATGAGCAATGTTGGAATAGCTACTAAAAATTTAAAATTTAACAATAATTTAGATTGACTTGTATTGATGTAAAGATCTCTAAAAACGACCTATTTCAGGTTCACAGATCCTGCCAACTATGCCAGATTAACTCCTGTGGGGGGAAAAAAATGTGTTCCCAGCCTGGGGCAAATAAACCTTTGCAGCCAAAAGCATTCAAAGGGAAAAAATAAAGTGGGAGAAGCTGTTTACTGCTTACAAGAAGTCATCTATTCCAGCTCGTCCAAGTCTCTCCCCATCCTGGCCCGGAAGAAGCCAAAAAATCCTCTCTGGTTCCCACACTCACTTGCCCCTCCACCTCCCTTGCAATCACCTATTGATAATGGAGATGCACAACTTCTCTCCAACCCTTGGAAACACGTATTGATACGGAGACGCACTAAGGCCAGGTGAGAGATTCTGGAAATATTGCAATTTTACCCACATGACTTCCAAAAAGTAGCTTGAAATAAAGGGTTCTTATAGTATAATCCTGTATTTGTAAAAGTTTTTTAAAAGGAGGTAAATATGCAACCATAAGACCATATCTGAAAGGAGGTATAAGCAACTAGTAATAGTGCTTAGCTCTGAGAAGTGGGACTTGGGCTGGAGGGAGAGAAGAGAAATTCTCTTTCTATTTTACACCCTTCATATGGTTTTAAC